TGTCTGTCTGTCTGTCTGTCTGTCCTCCAGTGTGTGCTTTTGGCCCCTTTGTCAAAGATAAAATAACTGTACGTGTTTGGGGTTGTTTCTGCTGCCTTTATTCTGTTCCACTAATATGCATGCCTGTTTTTGTGCCATTATGCTGTTCGAAACACCATACTTTATAGTATAACTTCAAGTCTGAAATTGTGTTGCTACGTGCTTTGCTTTTAACACCCAGGATTGCTTTTGCTATTCTGGGTCTCTTGTTCCATATAAATTATTTTCTTCTAGACTTGTTAGCAATATCATTGGTATTTTGACTGGGATTGCATTAAATACATGTATCAGATTTGAAAGTGTAGCAACTTTGATGATACTGATTCTGCATATACAGGAACAAGGGATATCTTTCCATTTTCTGATGTCCTCCTCAATTGCAGAGACTTCTATAATGAAAATTACATTACTTGATTAGGTGAAATCAAAAGTATTGAATTTTTTGATGCTGTTATAAATGATACTATTTTCCTAATTTATTTTTCAGTTGAGTTAATTATTAATGTATAGGAATGCTTTTGACTTCTGTGTTTGTTTTGTATCCTGCTACATTGCCAGATTTGCTTATTAATTCTAGGAATGTTTTGGTGGAATTTTTTGGGTCTTGTAAGTAAAATATCATGTCATCTGCAAATAATGATACTTAGACTTTGTTCTTTTCTATTTGTATTCTTTTTATTTCTTTCAGTTGCTTGATTACTCTGGCTAACGTATAGAGGACTGTGTTAAATATGAGTGGTGATAATGGGCATCTTTGTCTTGTTCCTGATTTTAGAAGGGAAGGTTTCCCATTTTTTCCCATTTAATATGATGCTGGCAAGTGAGTTCACCATAAATGGCTTTTATCAGATTAAGATTAGGTCCTTCTATACCTATTTTCTTCAGGATTTGTCATGATGGATTTTGTTTTATCAAACTTTTTTTTTCTATTGAAATGATTGCATCACTTTTTCGTTGTTGTTGGGTGGGTTTTTTGCTTGTTTGTTGTTTGGCCCTTGCTTCTGTTTATGTGATGAATTGCATTTAGTTGATTGGTGTATGTTGAACCATTCTTCCCTCTCTGGAAGGATTAGTCATGGTGAGTAATCTTTTTGATGATTTGTATATTCAGATTTTTACATCTATGCTTATTAGAGAGATTGACCTGTAATTCTTTGTTGGTTGAGTCTTTGGTTTAGGGATCAGGATAATGTTAGCTTCCAGGAAAGTACTCCTTCCCTCTGAATTATATTAGAGCTTGAGAGGTGTCGGTGTTAAATCTTCCCTGAAGTTCTTGTAGAATTCTGCTGTGAATGCATCAGGACCTGGACTTTTCTTTTTTTACTGAGTAGTGTTTTTATTATTGCTTTAGTTTCATTGCCTGCTACTTAATTCTTTAAGATCTTTAAGTCTTCGTGGTTCAGTTTTGGTAATTCATATGTATCTAGGAATCTCCATTTCTTCTGAGTTGTGCACTTTTTTTGGCATGTGTTTGTGAAGTAATGGCTAATAATTTTCTGGCTTTTGGCAATGTTTGTTGTGGTTTCATCTTTTTCTAATTGCTTTGATTCGTGTCTTTTCTTTCCTTTTTTATTGTTTTGATAAGATTGGCTAAGGGTTTTTCCATACTTTATTCTTTCAACAAACCAGCTCATTCTTTTTTTTTTTTTTTTGTCTCCGTTTATTTCTGGTTTGATCTTTATCATTTCCTTTCTTGTACAAGCTCTGGATTTGGATTGGTCTTGTGTTTCTAGGACCTTGAGGTATGTATCGCTAGGTTATCTATTTGGGCTTACTGTTTTTCTGATTTGTGCACTCATTGCTATAAACTTCCCTCATAGGACTGCTTTCATTGTATCCTTAAGTTCTTATGTGTTGTAGTGGCATTATTTTAATTCTAGGAGTTGCCTTTATTTCTTCCTTAATTTCTTTTGTGACTCATTGATTATTCAAGAATGTGTTAATTTTTATACAATTGCATAGTTTCTGTGGTTTCTTATTTCTTTCTAGTTTCATTGCATTGTGATCTGGTAATATATATGGTGAAATTTTGATTGTTTTGCATTTACTTAGGCTACCTAGGTCTGTTCTGGAGAAAGTACCTTGTGCTGCAGAAAAGAATATGCATTCTGCTGTTGGGTAGAACACTGTGTACATCTTTGAAATACGTTTGTTCAGAGGTTTGGTTCAATTCATGTTTCTTTGTTTTTTGTTTAGTTGATTTATTTGTGATAGAGGGGGCTCTCAAGGTTCAGTTGATGGTATTAATGTTTATCTGATCTTTTATGTCATATTAGTTTTACATAATTGAGTGCATTGTGGTTTGATGCATATGTGTTTATAATTGTTAAGTCTTCTGGTTGAATGGGTCCATTAACTAATATGTAATTGATTCTTTGCCTCTTTTGATCAGCTTTGATTTAAAGTACACTCTTTCTGAACATAAGATTAACTATCTTATTTTCAGGCTCCCATCTTATGCAGTATTGTTTTTTATCTTATTTTTAGTCAGTAAATTTCTATTTGTGTTAAATGTGTTTCCTGTATACAGTGTACTGCTGGATTTTGTTTCTTAATCCATTCTTGCCAATCTGTGTCTTTTGATTGCTAAATTGAGTCTGTTTACATCAGTAGTTATAATAGGTATTGACTTAATCCTATAATTGTATTATTTTCCAGTTGCTGTTTTGCTCTTTCTCTTTTACTTAATTGCTATCTTTACCTGATACATTCATTGTATTAGACTTTTTGTATTGTTAGCTTTATTGTCTTCAAGAATATCCTTGAATTTTTTGGAGTGTTGACTTGGTGGTTCTGAATTTCTTTAGGCTCTTTTTATCATTGAAATACTTTATTTCTCCCTCAATTAGAAAAATAATTTTGCAGATATAACAGTTCAGAAGTTGTTTTCTTTTAGAGGATGAAATACTTCATTCTAAGCTCTTCTTGCCTTTAAGGTTTATGTTAAGAAAAATTTTTAGAAATTTTTGTGAGTTTTCCTTTATATGTATGTCGTTTTTCTCTAAGATTCTGTTTTTTTCTCTAAGCTTCTGCCTTTAAGATGTCTGTTCTTGTGTTGGACTTCTGGTATTTTAATTATGTGGCATGGAGTGATTTTTTTTTCCCCCCAGTCATGGTTATTTGGGGTTCTGTATGCTTCACTTGCCTATGTATTAAATTCCTTTTCCATGTCTGGAAGGTTTCCTGTTACTACTTCTATACCCTTTGTGTTGTCTGCTAAGTTTTCATTAATGCCTGTTATTTTTATGTTAGACTTCTTTGAGTCACTTTGCAGCTGCTGGATGCATTCGTCATGTTCTCTTATTTTTAATCTCATTAACTGATGATTAACTACAACCCTGTCTGCCAGATCTGACACTATTCATATCGGTCACTTCTGCTACTCATACTTCTAGTCTGCTACTCATACTTTTAGTATTTTTAATTGTCTGGATTTCTGTTTGAAGTGTTTTTATGGATTCTCACTCTCTTCTATGCTGGACATAATGGTTTGAATCTTTTTCTTTAGCTCCACTAGATTTTTTGTAGTGTCTTCTAGATTCACTGTTCACCTATTTCATTTGGGTCATTATCTGACTAGTGATCTCTTCTTTAAATTTACCAAGCACCTTATTGAACTGTCCATATCTTATTAGACTTTCAGCTGTGTGGCTTATGATTTTCTCCCCCAGCCCCCGTTGAACCATCTTTTGGAGAGTTGGGAATTTTAGATGCATTTTGTTTCCCTGTCTTTTCATGTTTCTATATTTTTGATTTTTGTGCTGGAGTTTGGGTTCTTAGGAACCCACAGTTTCATTGATGAACCCTAGGCAATCCAGATATTGGCATACAGAGAAAATCAATTGACAGCAACTATGTTACCTTGGCTACAGTAGTGAAGTCAGCAATAACAATGGTGTTAAATATCAACCGAATACTGACACACCATAAGAACCACTCTTGAACTGGCCTTAGCTATAGCAAAGACCTCAGTGATTTTAGTGAGGACGCTTAGGCACCAAGATACTAGCCTATAATAATTTAAACCACTAATGTCTGCTTCATGTAGGCAGCTGTGCAGGAGTTCAAGCATACCTCTGGGCTAAATGCCACCTTGCACAGATCCACCTATTTAAAGGTTATACCCACCAATTCTGACCTCCCACCACAGTGTCCAGATCTCCTTGCCTGAGCACAGCCCTCTCAGTGGATCTGAGGAGGTTCCTGTTTAACTCTGACCCTCAAGCTTATCTGTGAGTAACGAATGCATCAGTCTTCAGGTGAAACTCTTCTCCTGGGCAGTTTCTGATTGTCACTTCTGCAGTCCTGTGTTGTGGAGAACCCAGCAGTAGAGCTTGGTAGGATTTGGTGGTTTGGCCGCCCTCTTTCCACCCACATGGATTGTGCAGGCCCTGCACTGGGGGCCAGCGTTCAAGAGAGGAAGTTTTAAAGGTACTTTATTGAACAGAAATTGAAGCCAAGTAGCCTTTTCTTGTTTTTTGTTTGTTTTGCCATTTTAACCACTTTTTTTCCATTAGTACATGCTTATAATAATACATAATGTTTCCATTCCCTGTGTGGTGTTGGTACAGGTACACAGCACATCATAATTCCTTTTTCATCCCCTTTCCCTTCCTTCCCTCCCCCTTCATCTGTCTCTTGATCCCTATTTATCTTTGGGTATAAATGATGTGAACAGTATTCAGATGTGGAAGGACTTTTTTTGGTGCTGGGGAACAAACTCACAACCTTGCACTTTCCAGGCAGGTGTTTATGGTGCTGAGCTAAATATCCGGCCCAGGACATTTTGATAAGTTGATTTAGATGTAATCAAAATTCCAGAATAGTCTTCAATTACTGCTTGATTTCTTTTTTCCAAAAGGAATTATGGCCCTTAAATCTTGTTGACAGCATAAAACTACTTGAGTAATAATACTGTACATGGTCATATTTAATTTATATAATATTGTATTTCATTATAGGTACTGAGGATGTTGTAGGTCCTGAAGGAATGGAGAAATTTTGTGAAGACATTGGTGTAGAACCTGAAAATGTAAGTCTAACTTACTGAGCAGTGTCAATCAGTAATTTTTCTTTCTTAAATCTTTTGTCCCCTCACAAATAAGCAATAGTAAAGAAATAATGATATATTTGTATTTATGAGTCCACTTAAGAATTAAGTTCCAATTCTGGTTTGATTTGTAAGTATTTATTTTTCTTGTAAGTGGGAGGATGTTAACTATTGTCACTTTTTCCCTATGGTTTAATTTCTTATGTATAAAAGGTACAGTAATTATGTACTTAATGTAGGTGTTTAAACCATGATGTGGGCACATGTAACTATATGACAGGTCAATTGCAGGGCTGAGCCTCTGCATGCTGTGTATCTTTATCCCTCTTAGTAGTTCTTTCAGCTGAATGTGGAATTAGTCCTAGACTTTGAGTAAATTCATGAAGGTTTTGAGTAGATAATAATTAGGAATTTTTCACAGATCTTTCATTTCCAATTAAACTTACTTCAGAAAGTGATTTTTTTTTAGTGTTAAAATCATTAACCAATTGTTAAGTGTTCTTTGCTTAATTATTTTTGTGTAATTTTTAGCATCATCTTACTGTTTCCACATAATCTGTGTTATACCAGAATGAGAAATTATTCTCATATACACACCCTAGCTCATAAACAATATAGTTTGATTTTATATTAACCTTGTATCCTAGGTCCAAAAGGAATTTGTGACCTGGTGGAGAACATGCCCTGTATTTAGACTTTGTGAGATATCTGGTATCCCTTAATATATGTTATGCTTTCAAAGAAAACTGAGAATTGAGTCCTCATGTGTGCTTCTTAAAACATTTTATACTTAGCATTTCTGTACTATTGTTCCATTGTGATTAACCCTACTTAAATTTTCTAAAGTGCCTTGGAATGTCTTTTACTCATTACATGAATTTTTGTCTGGAATGTTTCACTTTAATGTGTCTCAGTTCATATATCTTCATAATTTGCCTTAGCATAAAAATCTGGGGGAATGGGACCAGTAGTATTTCTTTAGATCTAGTAGACGGACATAGGAAAGGACCATTTGACTAACTTCCCAGAAGGGCTTTTTCTGCTGAAGTCTGGGTCAGGCTTGGCACAGTATTTTCTAACAGGGTTGTCAGAGGGTGAGAGTGAGTTGAGCCCGATGGTAGATCTAGGGCAACCATCTAGAAGACGATAATAAACACGCGTTCAGATGAGGTTGGGTTGGTTCACGATTAAGCTGTAGGTGTATAAGGCTTTAGCTGTAGGTCTTAGAGGCCTTTGTCAGAGGGGACTGCTGACTAAGTAGGAATAGTGGGTGCAGCTTATCAAAGTTTGTCACCCCTAATAGCAGTATTTAATAAAAGAGAGCTATTATTATCATTCTTTTTTTGGCATTTAAAAAGTCTGTTAGAAGGAATAGATATAGTGGGAATAGATACTGTGTGAAACCGTGTTGAAGACTTAAGGCCAGATTCAGAATATCACTCCAAGTAGGTTAATGTCACCAATAGAAATTACATTATTTTATATAGTCTCTTCGAAGTTTTCTCCCAGTTGTATTTTGGAAGTATTTAAAATGCCCACCTCACCTGATATTCATAGCTTATGAAACTTAAGCAGCTGATAAAATTCAAGTCTACTTGACCAAGATAAAGGCAAAGTCCTTTATTTTTTAGTTTTCTGACTAGTTAACGATTTCACGTATAGATTGTTTGCTGGTGTGAATATCTACTTTGGCTACTTAGCCATATTTCACTTACTTGGGCCTTGGACCTTCACCTTTATTTACTTATTTTTTAAACTCAAGATTTTATGTGGGATTTTAAGTTTCTATTAAAGGGATAAAAAGAGTACTGTTTAAAACTATAATTTGTGTTAGAAAAGGTATTAACTAACCTAGGTAAATTGACGTATAGGAATCAGCATTCCAAGAAATCTGACAGCTAAAGAGAAAATCTAATGTGTGAATACCTTAAAGAACATATAATTCCTTCTTTGGGGAAATTCTTTTTAGTGGCCCATTGATTTCTTAAGTGACCATTTTTAACCTGTTTAACAGTCATTTTAACCTATTTAGCAATCAATATTGATCAGCCCAAGTATTCTGCCTAATAATTCAGATTTTCTAAATCCAAAAAAATGAATTTTAAAAAACTGGTATATACCAATTTATTTGATGAAAAGTCCTAGAAATTTAGTAGGTTCTCATGGATATTAATTTCCAAAGTTGAAAACCATGAAGTCAGCATTGGAAGAAAGCTTTGTTATTAGTCCTTTAGTTATCAAACACATTTTAGCCTACAAACTAGTTTGTTGGCCTACAGATCAAAGGACTGACCTTGAAAATCTGAATACTCTTGGAATTCTTAAAGTACAGCTAGGCCTTTCGAGACTCATTAAATTATCCAAAAATGCTTTTCTAAGTGATTCTTTTGTTATTAAATTTTTATATTATCTTGATCCCTTTCTTTGTAACCATCATCTGACCCGGTTAGATACATAGAAGATGGTTCAGGGTAGTTCTTTAGCAGTTGAGAAGAAGCCTTAGGTTCTCTGTAAAGAAATTACATTAAAGAGTATCCTGGTCCTTGATCAGTTGTATAGCAGAAACAGGCACTGAATAAAAATACAGCAAATGGAGAGTGCCCATTAACGGCGCGTACCTGACCCCAGCTAGGATTTGGTTGTGCCTTGTGTGTGGTGACTGTCCACAGGTGGCTTGCAGAGTGCCAGGTTTGTCCTATGAGGGCCTTGTCTCTCTCCTTTTAGGACTGACATACTCTATTTCTTAGTTATAGTCATCTTTCCTCAGATTTTGAGGTGGATGAGGACAACTTCCTCCTCCTTGCCCAGTTATGGTTGGCCTTATACCAGGACTTTGGATGCAGAACTTTGAATGGCTTGAAGCTGGTTTTACCCTTGAAGTGTAATTTTTGTCTTCACACCTTCAAGCATTTAAGTGTAATTTACCTTTGGTTCTCTGGGCCAGGTGAAATACTGATAAATTAGTGTCATAAACCTGAATTGTCACAGTTCCTGACATCTGCAGTTTCAGAAGATTCACTAAAAAGCAAGAATGGCACTGAAGGATTGGTCCCCACTGAGAAGCAGTTGGATTGTGTCACTCCTTCTGGCTCATTCCAGACTCAGCACTATTTTAAATGGAACCACAGGCTACTTTAAAATGATTTCCTGAAAAAAAATGCAGTGGTCCAAACCTGTAATCCCAGCACTTCGGAAGACTGAGCCAAGATCACAAGTTCAGACTCAGCCTGGGCAACTTAGTGACTTACCCAGACCCTGACTTAGTGTGGGGAGTGTCGTTTAGTGTGAAAGCCGTAGGTTCAGTTTCAGTCTCCAATAGTGTTTCCCCGCAGGGTATGTGGCTCAGTCCACAAACATTAATGTATGTGTGGTCTGTTCCCCAGGGCACATCTCCCAGCATCCACTGTTTTGTTTAGCAGTCTTTTTTACCTTGCCATTTCACTTGGTAGAAGATTGGAGATTGTTCCATGTTTGAATGCATAGCTCTACCTCATTTATGTTAATGGTGTCACAATATTCCTTTATTTAGGATGTATTTAGCAAAAAAGTATTTAACCAGACCCTCACTCACAGGCATTTGGTTGTTTTCAGCCTTTTGCCACAACAAGCTATTCCACAACAAATATGAAGTATATAGTATAGTTTTTCGTGTACATGTATGAATATAGCTATGAAATAGCTTTCTATAGGAGTAATTGGTGAGTGAATAATTGGCTTTAATCTTGATAGATTGCTTTCATTCCATGGCTGTACAGCCAGAAAATGAATGTTTTTCCAAACCTGGTTCAGCAGACTGCATTCTCATACTGTTTAGATATTTGCCAAAGTAGAGCTGAATTTTCAAGTTACTCTTTTCATATTTCAGTGACTAAATCATTATTGAGAGTAGAAGCATTTGTAGGTGTTGGTATATTTAATTGCTGAGATTTTATTTGTCTTTTCTTTTTAAATAGGTAGTTATGCTTGTCCTAGCTTGGAAATTGGATGCACAAAACATGGGTTACTTTACTCTCCAAGAATGGTTAACAGGAATGACTTCTTTACAGTAAGTTCTGAGACTGTTCGGGGCCCTACATCTTCCCCAGCTGGATTCTTCTTTCTTGGGAGCTCAGGAGATGACTGAATGCTTGGAAGTAAAGTTTTTTTTATCTTTATGTATGGAAAAATGTTAATGTTCTTCTAGAGCAGTTCTGTCCAGCAGAAATAGGCCAACCCTTTTTCATGTATGTGAGCTACACATTCAATTTAAAATTTTCTCATAGCTATATTAACATAGAAAAAAGTAAAATTAGTTTTTAATGTATTGTATTTAACTCAAATACCCAGAATTTTGCCATTCCACCATATGTCCTGTATTATTATTTTTTAATGTTACATATTTTAAAAAATCAATGAAGTGTTTCATATTTTTTTATAATCTTCAAAACCAGGTGTGTATTTCACATTTATGAGCCATGTAGCAGTTACTCTTAGCTGTGTTCCAAGTGCTCACTAGTCACACATGCCTCCTGGCTACTGTTCAACAGTATGTGTTTAGAGCTTATTAAAAAGCCTGATTTGCTCCATGTGGTACTTTATGCCTATAAACTCTGAGACTTTATGCATATAAACTTTATGCCGAACTCTGAGAGGCTGAAGCAGAAGGATCACAAGTTCAAGTCTAGCCTAAGAAACTTGGCAACTTAAAGAGACCCTGTCTCAAGCAAAACATAAAAAAAGGAGCTGGGAATATTAACTCAATGTGAAGATTCAATCCCCAGTACCACTGAAAAAAGACCTCCTAAAACGAAAGGCATTATTGATTTATAAGAAGTTAAGTAAAGTTTAATTTATGAGTGAAAATATTTTATTTCTTCTATTTTATACACCTGATTTTAGCTTTGGGCAACTAGAACTTCATTACTTCAGTGATTAAAAAAAATAGTAAAGAGTTCATATTGCTTGGCCTGGAATTTAAAAAATCTGTGTTGTGTATTCACTTAGTACTTGTGCGTACATGTATGTTTTCACAAAGAGTTTCACAAGTAAACAGATCGTTCTGCTATATTATGCCTTAAAAGACATAGTTGGGATGGATCACTAAACATTTTAGATAGTTAAAAGTGAAACATGAATTGTTAGCATAGTAACTTTGTTACAGAATACTTGCAATGCCTTATCTTTTTCTTTTTGCTTGAACTAGGAATAATAGTAATAGACCTTCATTTTTTTTCTTACTAAAGTTGAGTTGGAAATGGTCTAATGATACTATTTAAATAATTTTGGAATTTGTCAGCTTTAATGCTCGTCCCTTTGGGTAGTATTCTATTGCTTTGTTTTCAGTGTGCTTTTTTATGAAACCTTTCCATTGTTTTCTCATTAAAGCCTTAAGGCTACTTTGTGAAAGACCAGTCAGACTGTATCCTGAAAGTTTGATAGATGAGGAAACAGGCTTAGAGGAACTAAGCAGCAAAGATTGAAAGGAAGCCCAGGATTTCTGATTAAGCCACGTTTTCCCTCTAACAGTAGTGCCTGATAGAAAATGAATTTTACTTAAAACCCAAACCATCCTTTTACAAATACACTTTTCTGTCAGCATGCTCTAGAATTTTAGTGTAGGTCTCTGAAATCTCTGTGTAATTGTGTTTGGAAGAACAGTGCCTTACAATTTAAAGCCTACTGACTTTTTCATTATTTTTCTCACAGCCATCTGAGGAAAGCCAGGCTGCTTTTTTCAAGTATTCTTATGATGATGGATGCATGGCCATATCAGGATTTTATTTCAGGGCTTCAGAGACAGCAACAGCAATACTTTCAGGCCCATTTTTGTTTGTTTTAAAAGGATATGGCATCCATTTTTGTAGTTTTGGGTTTTTACATTTGTCTTTAGCAAAGCATCTTACCAGGCCGTGCCCATCAATTTTGAGGGCCTCACATCCTGGGAAATGAAAGAGGCCGTTACCTGAAGAGGTCTGTCCTTGTTCTAAGGGGGCCACACACTCTGTCCAGCTCCTTAGTGAGCAGCTTCTGAGGTGGTGTGGTGGCAGTGGTGGCAGGCTGGCTCTCACAGTGGCTGCAGCCTGGTCTTTGTAATTTAGGGTTCTGTGATAAGCCTTGCCCACTGTGAAGGTATGGAGGAATCTGCTTTCTGTTTTGTGATGTGCTCTTAGTTTCCTTAACAAGTTAGTCATTTGTTCAAATATTTGTATGAAAATAGGATAATAGGTGCAGTTGTTTAGGCCTAGTGGGGGAGACGGTACCCATGAACCAGACAAAGTCCTTTAAGGGCAGGGCCTTAGACACAGTACCCAAAAGTAACAGCGTCATCTTTCTTTATACAAATTAAAGACTAATAATGCCTGTGTTTGTCAGGATTGTGTATCAGGTACCAAGAAAACTTAGGGCAGTTATTTATATGCACTAAAGTGGAAAGTAGTCCAGGTTTTGAATTATTTTATGGTTAAAATTGCAAGTGCTGTAGGTGACTTGCTGTTAGAAGACAGGGTCTTCTCAGGAGAGATGAGTCACAGGGATGACCTAGAAGGGTGTACCTCCCGTGCTGCTGCTCCTCTCTCCCTCTGCTTCCTAGCCCCCATGGGGAGCGGCTTTACTTCTGTCCAGCCCTTTCTGTGCTCTCTCTGCCTTGGAGCCAACTGACCAGGGACAGAACCTGGAACCAAAATAAACCTTTCCTTTAAGTAGTGGGTGTCAGGTATTTTGTTCTAGAGACAAGAAAAGTGATTAAGACATCTTCCATTTTAAAATTGTTTTCTGTTTTTGTTTATTTTCATTTTATTAAGCTATCCGATGAGATACTTTGGAATCAAGATGGAATGAAATATATCTATATCTATATCTATATATATCTATATCTACATCTGTATATATCTCCTGTGCTTATATATACTAGGATATTTCTCAATCCGTTTGGATTGCAATAACAAAATGCCTTAGACTGAGTAGCTTATAAATAGAATTGTAGTGCTGCCCATTCTGGAGTGTGGGAAGTCTTAATGAAGAATGCCTACTTTTGGTTCATAAAATAATGGTGTGTCTAGCTGTACCCTCACATGTGGAGGGGACAAGTAAGTTCCTTTGGGCCTCTTTTGTAAGGACAAGACTCCTGTTCACGTGGGTTCAGTCCCATCACCTCCCAAAGGTCTTCACTCCTTAGTTGGTTACTTTGGGTATTAGGATTCAGCACATGAACCAATGATTCAAAGCACAGCAGTGCATTTGGATAAATGCCAGATTTGAAAAAGTTTGGAGATATAAAAGAATTAAGATAGGGTGGCCAGTGATATAGTTCAGTGGTACAAGTGGCTGCCTGGCAAGTGCGAGGCTGTGAGTTTGATCCCCGGTATAAGAAAAAAAAGATGTTAAGTACATATACTGCTAATAATACTTCACTAATAAAGTATAATAAATAATAATGCTTTACTAATAAAGGTTGTTACTGTACAGTGGAGGTATGCTAGAAATAGGTGATGTCTTTTGAAACCAGAGTTGTCCTCCCTCCTCCCCAGTACCGGGGATTGAACCCTCAGGGTCTTCATGTTGAGCTGCGCTCCAACTCTGCGGAGTCACAGTCTTGCTGAATTTCCCAGGATAGGCTTGGACCTTGATCTTCCTGCCTCAGCTTCCAGGGTTACAGGAACATGCCAGCGTGTCTTGACTGGAACTAGAGTTTTGCAATGGTTCTGTCTCTCTCTGAGTGTGTCTAATGACATCTGCAAACCAGTGTGGTGAAATGACAACTTGTGAATTACCTGAGCACTGGGAATTTAGCGACTTTGACACTGACTGGAGGAGCTGTGAGTGTGGCCTCCTCCCAAGAGCCTATCATCTGAAATAGGCAGTGGTGGGTCTGAGAGGACTGGGTGGGAACACCGTTGCCCTGCCCCTCCGTCCTGCCCAGCCCGAGAAGGCACAGCTCTTACTGAATTGATAGACTTACTGCCTTTCCCAGCTTGCAGGTGTAAGATTACCTCTGATGAATTAAGCTAGTACGAGAACTTAAACTAAAAGAAAAACAAATCAAAAAGTCTTAGCACTGTCTTCTGTTCTGTGTAGAACAGATGAGGAGCCAGAGAATCATTCTCAGGCCGAGTGCAGGGGTGGAGGCTACCCTGGGAAAGGGGGAAGCTACCTCTGTTTTTATCACAGCCGATTCCTGTTACTTCTGAACCTGTTGCAGCGAAATAAAAAATGACCCACATTGTATACATATTTTGGTTTTAGAAGTGGTGCTCTTTAGAAGAATGGCACTGTCACGCTTGTGGCTTTTATTCAACATGGTACACAGCAGAGCACGGGGAGACTTGGGTTGAAGATGTAGTTTTGTAGGAAGTCTCGGGTTGTCTGTAGGTTTCTCAAGCCTGTTAATTCACAGGCCCTCTGCTGGAACTTGGTCCCTGACAAGGTGTCCTTGCCAAGTAGCCACTAGATGGCATCCTGTGGTTCTGGACATGGTGACTCAGCGGTCTCTTTCTCATGGGGGTGAGTCCAGGGGCTCTGTAGACAGATTAAACTATTGACTCTGCACTTCAGCCCCAAGTTCCTGTCCTTACTGGGTACCTCAAGTGGAAATATTACTCTGTGCATTTTACGTTTAAACATAAGACCTGTTCATCTCTTTAGTGCAGAGGCGCTTAGTATCTTTGAGCACAGGGACCTGGAGGGTTGCTACCAGACCTGCAGAACTTCCTGTTTCCCCTGGCCGCTGTGCCCCAAGATGCCAGCAGCTTTATTTTCTGCTAGCTCTGTCATAGTTAACAAAATGAGAGGTCTTTACTCCCGAACCTGTGTTAAGCAGGCAGCTGCTGTGCTCTTCCTCTCATTGCACAGGACTCACGTAGACTTCTGGTCTGTCAAATCCAGCAGGTTTCTGGTGGCTTTCATCCTTGACCCTCTTCCAGTGAAGGGCAGGGATATGGGCCTTACAGTGTTCTGGATTGGCTAGTTTCCCTCCTCTTTGACCTTTCCCCATTACTACTCAATCAGTGATAATTCATCATCACTTACCATTAAAATACCCAGTTCTGTGGTGAAGCCTCCTGCTGCCACTCATGCTTCCCAGATTTACTGCCAGCGAGTGCTTCTCCTGTATTTCCCTTATCTTCATAGCATCTTACTTGGGTTCTCACATCAGCTAAGCAGGCTCTCAGTATCTCTTCTCTGCCCCTGAATCTGCCTCCGCAGGCTCTCAGTATCTCTTCTCTGCCCCTGAATCTGCCTCCACAGAGGTCCCGAGGCTAAGACACAAGCTTGATTTCTCCCATGGTGGGAGATAACCTCCTTTGTTTGAAGGACTCAATAAAAGCCTTTCATAAGAGGCCACAAAAGCCTTTTATGGTCTGAACCTACCCCTTTCTCAGTCTGTTCTCATACTACTTTAGCTCCTAATCTATCCACTCCAGCCACAATGGCTTTCTTTTAGTCTTTTGGACTCATCATGCTTGATTCTGCCACTAGGCCTTTGTACATACTGCTCTTAATATCTGGAGAGCCCTTCCCACCTCTCCTGAAACACCTAGTTCCTGTGTCTCTTTTAGCTCGGGGCTTATGCATCAGTTTTTTGAAGAAACCTTTTTTGACTTCTAAGATAGTCTAATTTTAATCTTTTTCAACATCAAGAAAAAATAAAGGACAATCTAAATTATTTTGTTGCATAAATATTAAATATTTACTCTAATTTTGGCTTTTAGATAGTCTATCTTAATATAGAGACCATGAGGACTTATTTGTAGTTAGCTACAAAAATAGGAGCTTCCACAGATTTTCTAAGAATAAATCACTGTGTTGTATTACAAACCATATTTTAGTTTAAAAACTAGCCAAAATACTTTAGTAATAACTCCTAATTGTATTATCTATTCTTATGCTTAGATAAAAGCTCTGCAGAGGCCGTACTCAACACTGAAAGCGTTACTGTGCTTGTGAAAATAATAACTCTTGATTCTCATTTTTAAGAGTTACATATGGCAGAGTAATTTGTAAAAATAGCCAATTAGTCTCCTTCCTTATGATAAATATGTACTGTGTGACTTAACTGGTAAAAATAAGTTATCATCACCAGGGTCCCCTGGAAGAAAGGCTGATTTTAAGGGTGGGGCAGGGAACAACCAAAGTGAACTGGAATATTTTGTGCCAGAAAATAAGAAAGAGACTGGTGGGGACATGTTGTAAGAACACTGGAACCAACTTTAAGAGGCTGCCACCCACATTGGGATGGTTTGTACATCGAAAAGAATGAAGGCAGCACAGATAATAAGTCAGTGAATTAAGAGCAAAAAATTCCAAGTCCAGGAAAGAAAAAAGGATGGTGCATGCAGCTTTTTATATGAGAGGTATGACCAGGGAATAACAGGCTTATAAACTCAGTTTTGTACCTTTAGGTGTAATAAATGGTTCAGGTAGGTATCCATAGTAGGTGCTGAGACATTTTATATTGCAAATGAGGTCTTTAAGCGTGATTCCAACACTGCTACAGAAATTGCAGTGGGAGAGGCACTTGACATGAGATAGAAAGGTTTATTATACCCACAGGCCCTATGGAGGGAAGCAGGGCATGCTGTCAGAGGAGCGTTTGGGCAGCACAGGGAATGAGCTAGGACCCATCGGCAAGTGCTTTCATTGTGTGCACAGGAGAACACAAAAGTTTGAGGGAATTTCATTGGTGCACTGAATGTCAGGGAGTCACAAAGGATAGCAAGAGGGGGCATCTGTGACAGTGGACCAGATTTATCACAGTGGTGTACCTGATTTCTTGGGCAGACTGTTCACAGCATATTGGGGATATTAAGGCATCAGAAAATAGGAAGTTCAAAAAATGTACAATACACATTGAGGAACAGAATCTAAAGGTCCCATGACACAAGTTACTCACTAGTTCACAAGACAAGAGGTACCTTTGAAAGGAGAATCTGGTGGACCGCACCTTAACTGTTCAGCTTGATATTCTTTGTGACCAAAAATGTGATGAGTGTTAATTTTTAAAATGAATCACAGTAAAAGACACATCGTCAGTAAAAATAGGCCCTCTTGGTTTGAGCACACATACCCATTGCTTGTGCAATTTTCTGAAGCAGCTGTGGAAGTCCTCTTTCGTGAGTGTCGTTAGTTGTGCTGCCGTGGGGTGCTCCAGTGTCCTGAATCTATCCAAAATGTTTGCCTTTCATGGTGATTTGACTTTGGCGAAGAGCTACAAGTCGTACAGTGCCAGATCTGATGAATAAGTTGGACAAGAACACACCATAATGTTTTTATGAGCCTGCTTTTCCATTGGATGGCACCTGGCAGCAACATTCGTTGTATTTTTAATCATACCTCGTAAAGACATAAAAGAGAACTTCCAGAAATGTTTCAAAAAGTGGCAAGAGTAATGGGCGTAAGTGTGTTTGGTGTGATGGGGAGAATTTTAGAGGAAATAGTGTCAGTGTGGCTTTTACTTTAATAAACTTTTAAGAAACTGAAATGTCATATTTTGATCACCTGTTATATCTGCAATAATGAGAAAGAATGTGGTGCCTGGGAAGGATACAGTATTACATTACAGTATTTCAGTATTACATGTAGTATTCCTGTCAGAAGTGTTAAATCTGCATGCAATCTAGAGAATTATTTGACTGTTTGACATGCTACAAAGATAACTAGTCTGGTCTCTTTTTTTTTTGAGACAGGGTCTCGCTGTGCAGTTCAGGCTGGTCTTGGTATCACTTTGTAGCCTAGGCTGGTCTTGAACTCAACGATCCACCTGGCTCAGCCTCCTGAGTGCTGGGATTAAAGGGGTGAGCCACCATGCCTGGCTTACTAGTCTGGTCTTTAAAAAAAAAAAATGACAACAACTGTAAAGAAAATTAGGGCTCAATGAGGAAATGCATCTGAATTACTAGCTAATAATAGGGTTATCGTGATAGAATATTAAGAATGATGACACTATCATATTAGGGGTGAAGGGCATATTTGCAGCTTCACATGGTATAGAAAAATTCCTGAAGCCAGTGGATAGGTAAATGGACACTTATTCACTGTTCAGCTTTTCTGTACTTTTGAAATTTCTAAAAAAGGAAAAAGGTTGTCATAGATATATTCCAGCTTTAGGGTTTATGTTGTTTCCTTTGGTGTTCTATTACTATACAACTTTAAAAAAATTAAAAAAAAAAAAACCCTCTTATAATCTGCCTTTATTCTGTTTTCCCAGATGTGATACAACAGAAAAACTCAGAAATTCTTTGGATTGCTTGAGATCATTATTAAACGATTCTACAAACTTTAAGCTTATTTATAGATATGCATTTGACTTTGCACGGGTGAGTTCTCTGGAGCCTATGCAGATGTTTTCATCCCCTTCCTCCCTTTTTCATTGCCCCTTTGAAGTTTGTTTTTACATGCCACAGCAAACTACTTGAAAAAGTTTCTCCCAGGATGCTAGTTAGTATCTTCTCTACATATGTGTTTTTTAGAAATTTGGCAAAAGTTTGTATGTTAGCAAAAACTTACAGTGGCAGACCTTCAGTAGCTCTTGTGGTTACAATACTTTATAAATGGGCATGTGGTAGACACTGTTGTAAATGTTTCTAGATAAACTTGGAAAAGCTGTCTCTTTTCGTAGGAAAACACCTGTTCACCTTCACCCCTCAAGGTACTACAATAACTGTCCAGTTTCACTTTTGGGTAGTATGATTATATTTGGAAATCATGTGAATAGTAAATCTAGGCTAATTTCCTATTTGTCTCATATCAAATGTGATAGTGCTTCTTTGGGCGTAAAATAAAAATGACAGTATGTAACCTGGTCACCATCAGCAGTTAGTTCCTACGCACTGATTGCCATTGTATTCATCAGATACAGTCCACAGCCCTTCTATTTTATTTTAGAATGTTGTTTTATAATATGTCTATGGGTTGAATTGGTTTGGGTGGCTAGGCTTTCCTGATTAATTACGTTTCTAAATGATTTGTTTTTTAAAGCCTAGAATTTGAAAAATGATTCTTTTCCTACCACCATGTTGATCTTTTTCACTTTATTCTCTCTGGCTCTGCCAGTTTAGCATCAAAGATTTATTTCGTGGTGAATTCCGATGCATCTGCAGTAACACGTCAGTAGTTCTCTGTAATGCCTTCATTTATGCATTTTTACAACCTTCTAATAAAATCACAACATGCTTGGAAAGGTATTGATAGGAGAAATGAGGCAAAATTCAGGTACAGTGTTTGACTAAATGGCATTTGCATAAGGATATAGAGAAGTTAGATGCTACATGCTTTTAGAATAGGTACTAGTTCCTAGGATTAAACCATTCAGTATTGGAGGGTGTTCCCTAACAAAAAATCATCCTCTTACGGGTAGCAGTCTGTTTGGAAGTGTTGTATTTTCTGTGCCAAAATCAGCTGTTTTCTGACTTTATTTGGGAGTGGAATTCTCCCAGATATCCACTGTGTTTTCCATTGTACTCCTCCCTGACTGGCTTGTTGTTGCTGTGGCCCATCTCACAGGACTCCTTTAGCCTCTTTTAGGGCCTCCGACACAGTTGAGGCCCTTGTTACTTCTAACTTGCACTTTTTTTTTTTTTTTTTTTGGTACCTGGGATCGAACTCACGGCCTCGCACTTACCAGGCCAGCAGTTGAGCCGCTGAGCTAAATCCCCAGCCCCTCACTTGCACTCTTAAGTTAGCCTTACTTCCACATTCTTTTACTTCTCATCCAGCATTCACATCAGTCGGTATCATTGCTCTTCCTCCAGGTCCATCTTGCTGCCAAAGCCTTCAGTCCCTTCTTGGTGCCTTTTATATGAACAATCCGCTTGTGGGGTGTATACAGTATGGTTACCCTCACAGCAGCTCCAGGGAACAGCCAGAAATAGTTCCAACCACTCCACAGCGAAGAAGTGGAGGTTTAATGTGGTCTCATTGTTAGTAGACAGTGGATCAAGACTCAGACCAAGAGCCTCAGACCCTTAAGTCCAGTCCCAGTCTGCGTACTTTGACATCGTTTGTGCTATGGAATTGGATTCACTGTTGCTCAGTGTGTCTGCTGCCTGGCCTGTCTCCCCTTCTGCTTCCTGCCTTTGGGCGTGCTGTGCACTCGCACAGCTCTGTCCCTCCCACACTTCTGCTCCCACGCAGCCTCCCTGCTCTCCTGTCCTTTCCCAGTGTACCCTCACCACTCCTCTCCACAGCTTTGGGGTTTGGGTGCAGACCTGCCATGAGATACCATGTGTAACAGCTAGCATAGTTCTTTGCTTTTAGGGAGTACAGTAACTATAAATATAGGTGACTTAATCCCTTGTATGTAATGATGAATAGCACCATCTATATTTAGTCATTTATTTGATTACCAGAGCAGTTCAGTTAGCTTAAATGAGCTCAAAGATGAATTTAATAACTTTTGGCTTTGTCTAGCTATATCACACAAGTTTTGAAATGTTAATTTTCATTTGTATTCGATTAGAAATATTTTCCAGTTTCCTTTGTGATTTACTTATATTTGATACCTGGTTGTTCGAAAGTACTGTTTTTCATGTGTTTGGAATTTTCCAGATAGTCTTACCATTATGGACCTAGTTTAATTATATTGTGGTCAGAGAACATACCTCATGTAATTTTGCTCTGTTTAATTCATGGTCCAGAATATGACCTCCTGTGAATAAACGCTTGGTAGGGTGTTTGTTCTCCAGATGTCAATTAGGTCAAGTTGGTGGATAGTGGTATTTAAGTCTTCTGTATCCTTACTGATTTCTGTCTCCTGGTTCTATCGGGAATGTTAAAGTCACCAGTTCTAATTTTGTCTGTCACTGCTGGTTTTTTTTTTTTTTTTTTTCCTTTCATGTGTTTAGAAATTCTGATGTGAGGTTTGGAAATACTGAGGAATATGTCCTGTGAATGAATTGACCCTTTCACATTACGTCCTTGTCTCTGAATACTACCTATTCTAACATCTACTTTGATAGATAAAAATACAGTCACTCCAGCTTTCTTTAGATTAAAGTCTGTACGATGGTTTTCCCTTCCTTTTACTTTAGCACATTCCCACTGGCTTGAACCACCAGCGGCAGGTGCATGACTCCAATTGGGAAGTTTGTGCCACTGATGGTACAAATAGATCTGATCCTTTTATTGGTCTTTTTACTAGTAAAATTAATAAGTTTATCAATGGACCAAATCTAGTTAGTTGCTTGAATTTGAATAATTACTACCCAGATATAAACATTAATATTCTACATGTCTTATTAACAAAATTATTATAATAATCAAATTTATTTCATTAAGTTTAAAGAAATGTATATTTTAAATAATTTATCAATAATTCTGTAATAAATTTTAACATAGACATTTTACAAGTGCCCCATTGCTAGTTGATATAGTATGCTATATCACTAATTAGCTATATAGTATAATTTTATACCATTCAATGTTTTCCTTAAGGAACTGTAATGTGACATCTAGTCTGCTAAATCAGTTCTTTTCCTTACATTATTGTAATCAAAGACTCCCTGAGAAGCAGAGACAAGCCACCCAGTGAGACACTCATGGGGTATACCACTGATGATTCAAGCTATTAGGAATTACAGCCCAGTAGTGAACGTGTTATCTTTATCTTTAAATGTTATACCATTTCATGTGTAATGTGAGAATCCTTATAACAGTACCTTTATTTGGCCTTTCTGTACTTAATACCGTTGTTATCATACATTTTATTTGTTATAATCTTACATATTATTTTCATTTTAGTTTTGAATAGGTAAATATGTCTGTTATAGTTACCTACAAAGATACCATTCCTGTGCTCTAATCTTGGATTTCTTTTCAATTTAATTTCTTTTTGCTTAAAATCTTCTAACATTTCTCCTAGAACAGATCTGGTTTTTGATGAATTCACTAAGACTTTATTTTTGTCTTCAGTTTAGCATGGTACTTCTGGATAAAAAAAATCTAGGTTGATAACTTTATTCTTTCAGTAATCTCTCCCGTTGCTGTCTGTGTTTTGTCATTTCTTTCTGATTATGTCTGGCTCTTTGTTCCTTCCAGCATGTCTTTTTTGTTTTGTTTCCTGACTGCATTAATTGCCTTTTACTGCTTTTCAGCCAGTTGCTTGTGGTTCCTAACGAATTTTTTTGTGCTATTCTGATTGGAGTTTGTTGAGTTTTTTGTTTGTTTGTTTTTTGATCATTGGTTGATAGTTTACATGAAGTTGGGAGGTATTCCAGCTGTTATTTCTTTAGCTGTCTTTTCTGTTCTCCTTTGCTGTCCTTGGAATATCATGTGTTGCATTGCTTGATGTTGACCCTCAAGCTTATTGATTCTGCGGTCATTTTTTTCTTTCCCTACTTTTTCCTGTCTCTGTTTCATTTTAGATACTACAGTCTTCTCAGAATTAATGTTTTGTTTCGGCGAATCTATTCTGTTAACCCCAGTCATTTCAGATGCTGTATTTTTCATCTCTAGCAGTTCCATTTGGGTCCTCTTATATGTTCCATTTGTTTTCTCATGATAGTTTTTTGGGTTTTTGTGCCATATTGAATATCTAGAACATTTTTTGATAGTATTTAATAAATTTTTCTTTTGGTTTCCATCTCTGTCATTTCTGGCTCTGTTTTATTAGTTGATTTTTCTCTTACAAGTCATACTGTCCAATTTTTTTTTACTTTCCTAGAAGTATTTTTTTTTTTTTTATTAGAGCTGTATATTGTAAGTTGAATGTTTCTGGTTTCTGGGTTTGTTATTTTATGAAGTAGTGTTGGATTTTTTTTTTCCTGGTGCATGATTAACTTTGAATCAGTTTAATACTTTGAGAGACCCAGTTAGCTAGAGCTACCTTTATTTTAGCAATGATTTAACCTTACCAATAAGGCAGTAATACTCTCTGAGGACTCTCCGTGGTGTACTGTGTATAAATTACAGTATTTTTCATGCTGACTGGCAAAAATAAAAACCATCTCCAGTCCTGTGTAAGTTGTGGGGATTTCTGCTTTGTTGTTTGCAGTGAAGTATATTTCTCCACATTCAGGCTGCTTCCTTTCACAAAGACTCAGGTCAGTACTTGGCCAAGACTTGAGCATATTGTTTGAAGATCCCTAGACCTTTTTCTTTGGCTCGCAGCTCACTAGTAATTTACCTCACAAAATATAAGTCCCCCTTTTCTTTTTAACCTCTGTGGTCTGTTTTCTCCAACTCAGCAAAACCACTGGGCTGGATTTGGGTTTCCCTTTCCTTTGCTATGACTTAGAAACCAACTCCATGGTGTAAGCTGGTGTCGCGTGGGTTTGTTTGCTTTTTCTCGGGTCATGGTCTTCTGCTGCGTGTTTTCAGA